TGAGGCCCATCCCCATCTACTGAATTGGAAGCTGAAATTTAACAAGACTCCTAGGTGATCCAAATGCACCTTAAACTGTGAGATGCACTGATAAAGAATAGGCCATTTGCAGGGAAGATATAATCACCAGGTATAGCTATAACTCAGGTGGGAACTTTCTGATGCCCCTGCTTAACTAGAGCTGACTAAGGCAAAATGATGGTGTCTAACTCTAATGATAGACTGACATATATAAATGTCCATAAGCACACACACTCAACTGTTCTCAACTAGGGGTGATTTCGCGCCCCAGGAGACACTGGGCAATGAATGTCTAGAGACATTTTTGGTTGTCAGTGGGGAGAGGGGGGCTGCTACTGGCATCTAGTGAGTCGACACCAAAGATGCTGCTAAACATCTTACACTGCACAGCACAGCCCCCCATAACAAAGAATCATTTGACTCAAAATGCCAATAGTGCTAAGGTTAGAGAAACCCTAGCACAGATTATGCAAAGATTCCTACATAAAGGTGTGTTAATTGGAACTATTCATGAGAAAAGGAGCAATAGTTTGACTATACAGCTCTGAAGGGATGAATTTTGTATCTGGGCATTCTGCATCTCAAGGTCTATGCAGCTTTCAAGACCATGAAAATCATTTATCTGCTTTTGCTAGCAAACCCAGAGTCAGTGATAATCCGTATTAGCATATAAAATCAGTCAGCATCACTGCCTAAAACCTGTTACTATGCAAAGAAAAATAATGGAGACAGAAAATTAAGGTGCTATTTCATTTAAAACCCAATCCAACTGCAGAAGAAAGCAGGCATAGGACCCTCAATTCCATTGCCTTACCAAAAGACACCAGTAGTCTATACCTTCATTTTCCACATCCACAATCCCTTGTCTGCAATTTTCAAAAATCTAAGAACTATGCAATATTCTTTTCTAAATTGTGGCTGAACTTCTTATCTGAACTCATCATCTGGCAGCAAAGCCTGAATACAGGTGAGGCTATTCATTATCTTAATTATCCCACTTAGTGTAACTATTCACATGGTTCACTGCAGAAGTATTCAGAGGTTTGCTTAGGAGGTGGTGCCACAGGCCTTGCTGGAGCTGTTATATATGATAGATGCTCCTTACTGCCTTTCTAAAATATGAAAAACTATAATTTTGAAAACATTTGGCTTCAAAAGTTTTGGATACATGATTATGGACCTCAAGTGACTAAAATACAGTCAACAGCAAATATTCGCTGAACGCATTCATATACATTTGAAAAAAGAAAAGACACACACACACACACACACAAATCCCTACATTAGTAATTAACAGTATGACAATCAGTTTCCTTATTTAGGGCACTGTGTATAAGCCAGGCTTGCAGCTTCAAATCCTATAAGGACCTGCTAACTTTGCATAGAAATGCCTTTCTTCGAGTCCGTAAACTAACCTCAAATTCAAACTCAACCTTCTTGATATAAGGCAAGAAATAGTGAATGATTTAGGGTAAGCCCCTTGACTATACCAGGAGTGCTAATTCCAATTCAGTAGTATAATCAGCCTCTCTCTCTCTCTCTCACACACACACACACACACACACACACACACACACAGTGTGTAATAGCATTACAGGCACCCACTGGCTCTGAGAAGGTTCTATCAGGGCCTCTCTCCTATACTCAATTCTCACTGGTTGCTGGCCTTAAGCTCCTGAGTTGATGGTTGGGAGTATAACTCTTTCTGCATATAAACTATTTCCCTCCCTGACAGGCCTTACCTGACTAGCCTGTTGACTGTCTTATGGTGTGCTCATGGGACTGGCCCAGGGAAATAGCAGGTTGTTAGGAAATAAGTAGTAAGGAATTACTGAGAGCAAATGTATTCAAATTGCCAGTTTTATATGCCTACCTTGTAGGATGGGGGCTTGGGAACAGAAAGGGATGCCAGCTGATTTCCAGAAACCATCAAAAAGATACATGACCTTGCAACCATGATGAAAAAGATGCATCATGCTTGCTGCCAAAAACAATGAACACAATGGAAACAATTTAAACTTCTTCAAAATCTTTTTTTGCCAGTTATAGCTCTGCCAAGATTCACTAATCACCATTCAATTTTTATGCTTTTTTCATTACACTGCAAAATAATCTTCCATCTTTTATATCCTAAGAAAATACATGTCCTTCTCCTGAAAATGAAATGGCACATGGTATTACTTAATAAGTTGAAAACAAATCCTGAAAAGTTTTTGTGAAGCTGTTCTCTAATAAAACTCTAAGAACTGTGATGTAAAGAGGGGAAAATATTTCACTGCAGTTATGCTCAGTGCATTGTTAAATATGATTCTAGGGCACCTGGGTGGCTCAGTCGTTAAGTATCTGCCTTCGGCTCAGGTCATGATTCCAGGGTCCTGGGATCGAGCCCCGCATCGGGCTCCCTGCGGGAAGCCTGCTTCTCCCTCTCCCACTCCTCCTGCTTATGTTCCCTCTCACTGTGTCTCTCTCTGTCAAATAAATAAATAAAATCTTAAAAAATATATATATAATTCAAATGCTAAGGTGGAGGAAGAAACACTTTGCCAAAGTTTTTGTAACTATTTCACCACCAAAGCAGTTTGCCTGTGGACGTACCTACCAGTGGTTTGTGAAGTCTCATGACCATTCAGGAAGAAGACGCCATCTTTCTCTTCTCAGGTGTCTGAAATAGGGAGTGGGAAAGGGCCAGAGGCCATGGGCAAGCCTCTTGCCAAGACTGTGGATGAGCTCATCAACTCCACCCCAGCATCCATCTCAGCTTCTTTAGAATTTCACAGGCTGCAGTCCTTGGACCAGCCTCCTGTCAGGTTCTCAAAACAGGAAAAAATAAAGTGGATCTTCCCCACAAAAAAAAAATTGGGAATTCTTACATTATACTGTTATTTTAAACATGCTCCTCTTATGTAGTATAATTAAGGAAAAGATCAGATTAGGATCTCAAGAAAGACTTTTCCAAGAAGACTCTTTCAAATCAGTTTCCTTTTAAAATGTCCTTACAAATCCTTAAGCAACTTTCAAAAGAAAGTCTTATGGTAAGGATCAAAGACATGCATTGGGTAAGTAACTCATTCCTAATAGAAAAGATATAGTAAAATATTATGAACTCTCTCTGCTTGATCAGAAAACAAATTTTTCACCCATAACAAGTCCTTTAGTTCAATTCTTCAGGAATTCCATTCTATTTTAGCTTCTGTATAACAATATTGCAAAACTGTAATTATATCCTCTATAATCAGCCCATTCCAATGTAATTAAGAGTGCCACAAATTTAAAGCTATGACCTCACTGCTGAGGAGAAAAGTGTGTGGAAGAGATAATTTATATTACATGTAAATAGACATCCTTTTATGCCAACAAATTTAAAACATTAAGTAACATTATAATAGAATCATCATATTCCTGATAGTTTTTCTTCCATCATTTCTAGCATCTGACTCTAATCAATAAACTCTTTCCTATTAAACCCTGTGCTCTTACTGTACGTTATGAAAACTCTAAACCCCTTCAGATGCCTCTCAATTCCCCTCATTCAACTGCCAGTCACTATGGGGATAAAGATATATGTGAGGTGAGTGATTCCTGGCACAATGTTATGCTAGTGTAAACCAAGTTTTAATTGGCAGAGAAGTCCATCAGTGAAGTGTGTAACTTCTAAGCAATGTGAATAGAATTTTATCTCAATTAAGAATCAAGAATTTTTTTTTAAGATTTTATTTATTTGACAGAGACAGAGAGAGAGGGAACACAAGCAGGGGGAGTGGGAGAGGGAGAAGCAGGCTTCCCACTGAACAGGGAGCCCAATGTGCGGCTCGATCCCAGGACCTGGGGACCATGACCTGAGCCAAAGGCAGACGCTTAACGAAGTCATCCAGGCTCCCAAGAATCAAGAAATTGTGGACCAAACTTAATGTGCCACATATTATAATGGTTCAAGCAAAACATTTTTTTAAAGATTTTATTTGACAGAGAGCACAAGTTGGCAGAGGGGCAGGCAGAGCGAAAGGGAGAAGCAGGCTCTCCTCTGAGCAGGGAGCCCGACGTGGGGCTCGATCCCAGGACCCTGTGGGATCATGACCTGAGCCAAAGGCAGGGCCTTAACCAACTGAACCACCCAGCTCCCCGCAAAACATTTTATAAATGTAACCATAGCCACATTAATAAGAAAGGACAACAGCAATAACTAACACTTACCAAATGCTTACTATGTGCCAGCACTATGAGAATCTTAGATGAATTATCTCATTGAATTTTCACAAATGGCCCCTGAGATAATACAATTATTGCCTCCATTTTTCATATCAGGAAACTGAAACTCAAGGATGTTAAATAACTGCCCAGGTTAATTAGCTGGTAGAGTAGGGCCAATATTGAAGCCAGGTCATCTTGAAACTCTATTTTTACAGCTTTCAGCCTAGACTATCTACGGATTCTGTTACACAAGCAATTTAAACCAACTATTTTTTACCTTTATTCTTCCACTAAGGCTCCTGGTGAACTGCAACTATTACCAATCAACAAGGGGTTGGGGGAGAGGGAGTAGTGAAAGCAAAAAAGCAAGATAACTGTTTATCAAGATTCTCCTCTCCAATCAAATTCAGGAATCCCTTTCCATATTCTGTATAGCTAATTGATCTTTTTAAATTACACAAATGTTTGGGCGCCTGGGTGGCTCAGTTGGTTAAGCGACTACCTTCGGCTCAGGTCATGATCCTGGAGTCCCTGGATCGAGTTCCGCATCGGGCTCCCTGCTCGGCGGGGAGTCTGCTTCTCCCTCTGACCTTCCCCCCTCTCATGTGCTTGCTCTCTCTCTCTCAAATAAATAAATAAAAAATCTTTAAATTACACAAATGTTTAACCAACTGAGCCACCCAGGTGCCCTTTTTTTTTTTTTTAAGATTAAATTACACAAATGTTTAATCACAGCTGATAAATTGGTGAAGCACCAATCACAAAATAGAATGCACTCTTGTATTTTTCAGATTAAAGAAGCTGATTGACCAAGAAACCAAGTCCCAGGAGAAGAAGGAGCAAGAAAAGGAAAAAAGGGTCACTGCCCTGAAAGAGGAGCTGACCAAACTGAAGTCTTTTGCTTTGATGGTGGTGGACGAACAACAAAGGCTGACAGCACAGCTTGCCCTTCAAAGACAGAAAATCCAAGACCTAACCACAAATGCAAAGGAAACACATGCTAAACTAGCCCTCGCTGAAACCCGAGTTCAGGAAGAAGAGCAGAAGGCAACCAGATTAGAGAAAGAACTGCAAACACAGACCACAAAGTTTCACCAGAACCAAGAAACAATTATGGCAAAGCTCACCAACGAGGACAGCCAAAATCGCCAGCTTCGACAAAAGCTGGCAGCACTCAGCCGGCAAATTGATGAGTTAGAAGAGACAAACAGGTCTTTACGAAAAGCAGAAGAGGAGCTGCAAGATATAAAAGAAAAAATCAACAAGGGAGAATATGGAAACTGCGGTATCATGGCTGAGGTGGAGGAGCTCAGGAAACGTGTGCTAGAAATGGAAGGGAAGGATGAAGAACTCATAAAAATGGAGGAGCAGTGCAGAGATCTCAATAAGAGGCTTGAAAAGGAAACATCACAGAGTAAAGACTTCAAACTCGAGGTTGAAAAACTCAATAAAAGAATTATGGCTCTGGACAAATTAGAAGATGCCTTCAACAAAAGCAAACAAGAATGTTACTCTCTGAAATGCAATTTAGAAAAAGAAAGGATGACCACAAAGCAGTTGTCTCAAGAACTGGAGAGTTTAAAAGTAAGGATCAAAGAGCTAGAAGCCATTGAAAGTCGGCTGGAAAAGACAGAATTCACCCTAAAAGAGGACTTAACTAAACTAAAAACATTAACTGTGATGCTGGTAGATGAAAGGAAAACAATGAGTGAAAAATTAAAGCAAACTGAAGATAAGTTGCAAGCTGCTTCTTCTCAACTTCAAATGGAGCAAAATAAAGTGACAACAGTTACTGAGAAGCTAATTGAGGAAACAAAAAGGGCACTGAAATCCAAAACTGATGTGGAAGAAAAAATGTACAGTGTCACCAAGGAGAGAGATGACCTAAAGAACAAACTGAAAGCAGAAGAAGAAAAAGGAAATGATCTCCTGTCCAAAGTTAATATGCTGAAAAATAGACTTCAATCATTGGAAGCAATTGAGAAAGATTTTCTAAAAAACAAATTAAATCAAGATTCTAGTAAGTCTACAACAGCATTACACCAAGAAAACAATAAGATTAAAGAGCTCTCTCAAGAAGTGGAAAGACTGAGACTGAAGTTAAAGGACATGAAAGCCATTGAGGACGACCTTATGAAAACAGAAGATGAGTATGAGACTCTAGAACGAAGGTATGCTAATGAACGAGATAAAGCTCAGTTTTTATCTGAAGAGCTGGAACATGTTAAAATGGAACTTAATAAGTACAAGTTAGCAGAAAAGACAGAGTCCAGCCATGAACAATGGCTTTTCAAAAGCCTTCAAGAAGAAGAAGCTAAATCAGGGCACCTCTCAAGAGAAGTAGATGCACTGAAAGAGAAAATTCATGAATACATGGCAACTGAGGACCTACTATGTCATCTCCAGGGAGATCATTCAGTTCTACAAAAGAAACTCAATCAACAAGAAAACAGGAACAGAGATTTAGGAAGAGAGATTGAAAATCTAACTAAAGAGTTAGAGAGGTACCGGCATTTTAGTAAGAGCCTCCGGCCTAGTCTCAATGGAAGAATCATCTCTGACCCTCATGTATTTTCTAAAGAAGTTCAGACAGAAGTAGGAGACAATGAGCCACCCGATTATAAGAGTCTCATTCCTCTGGAACGAGCAGTCATCAATGGTCAGTTGTATGAGGAGAGTGAGGACCAGGATGAGGAACCTAATGACGAGGAATCTGTGCTATCCTTCAAATGCAATTCATCTACTCCCTGTCCTGTTAACAGGAAACTATGGATTCCTTGGATGAAATCTAAGGAGAGCTATCCTCAGAATGGAAAAATACAAACTAAACCCAATGGCAACTTCATGCAACCTGGAGATCTAGTCCTAAGCCACACGCCTGGGCAGCCACTTCATATAAAAGTTACTCCAGACCATGTCCAAAACACAGCCACTCTTGAAATCACAAGTCCGACTACAGAAAGTCCTCACTCTTACACAAGCACTGCAGTGATACCAAACTGTGGCTCCCCAAAGCAAAGGATAACCATCCTCCAAAATGCCTCCATAACACCAGTGAAATCCAAAACTTCTGCTGAAGGCCTCATGAATTTAGAGCAAAGCATGTCCCCAATTACCATGGCAACCTTTGCCAGAGCACAGACCCCAGAGTCTTGTGGTTCTGTAACTCCAGAAAGGACAATGTCACCTATTCAGGTTTTGGCTGTGACTGGTTCAGCAGGCTCTCCTGAGCAGGGACGTTCCCCAGAGCCGATAGAAATCAGTGCCAAGCATGCGATTTTCAGAGTTTCCCCTGACCGGCAGTCATCATGGCAGTTTCAGCGTTCAAACAGCAACAGTTCAAGTGTGATAACTACTGAGGATAATAAAATCCACATTCACTTAGGAAGTCCTTACATGCAAGCTGTAGCCAGCCCCGTGAGACCTGCCAGCCCTTCAACACCACCACAGGATAACCGAACTCAAGGCTTAACTAATGGGGCCCTAAACAAAACAACCAATAAAGTCACCAGCAGTATTACTATTACACCAACAGCCACACCTCTTCCTCGACAATCACAAATTACAGTAAGTAATATATATAACTGACGACTCTCACCCTCATCCGGTCTATAGTGCTATTTTTGCAAGGAACTCAATCCTTTTTAATTATCCCTCCACATCCCCCAAAAGACTGACTGAACTTGTACTTTGGGAAGGTTTGTGCATGAACTATCCAAGAATATCTGAAACTAACTAAGTGTTGCCTGCAATAGTCATACCAAGTGTGCACTTACTGTATATCTTTTCATTTACATACCTGTATGGAAAATATTTAGTCTGCACTTGTATAAATACATCTTTATGTATTTCATTTTCCATAACTCACATTAATTTCACTGCAACTTGTCTTGATGAAATACTTTAACATTTTAAAGCAGTAAATAATTTGTTATTTTTACCATTGCTTGCTGAATTTTTTTTTTGGTCATTTTGTGTTATATTTTTGCATGTATAATAGAATTTTACTTCCTGTTCACAAGGTCTATTAATTCTTCCTTAAAAACAAGTAGGACCTACTTCCCACTTCCCATTTACAGTCAACTTCTGATCACACGTTATTAGAGGAAGAGGAAGTGGTTCAAATAAATAAAATTTATGTCTCTTTGTTTTTAAAGTGAACTGTAAGATCTCTCAGGAGCAAACTTAACTTCCTGCTTGAGATGTATCTCAGTATCCTTGGTGCCCAGCAAAGTGCCTAGCACATATTGAGAACTTAATAAATGTTTACTGACACTAAGTGAATAAAATTAAATAATTTGCTTTTATAAGCACATATGAGCTGATGGTGAAAGTAAAAATGAAATGTGACAGGAAGCCAGAAAAAGCACATTTGAAAACACAAGTTACCTTGACAATCAAGAGTTGACTGTATTTCTACTATAGGTGAAAACCCTCATAAAACATATGTATTTGCATCCAAACCTGAAATCAGCCACTATGATATATGCTCTTGAACACTGCTTCAAAGCAAAAATGTCATTCTTGTTTTTCTTTCCTATCTGGATCCCAAAATAGTTTGGATTATTTAAGGTAGGTGCTTCCTATCTTGCTTATAAATTGGCTATATTCAGAAGCTTACAATGTAATTGCATTTTCCCCCCACCTCTAAACAAGCAAATAGAAGCCAAAGATAGTTTCAAACACAAGTTATAGAAAAGGCATATTTAAAAGAAAAATCATACATTATGTTAGTTGAGGAAAATTTCTTCTGTGATTATTGTTATACCATTTACAAGATAAGTGAGAAAAATTTAGCCAAAGCATTCTAAGAATTCTGATACTTACCTTAGAGGACTCTTTCAAAATGATCTATATTTCCATAGCAGAGAACAACAGTTTTCAGAGGAACATTTTAAATTACAAATCTGGTCCCCAAGTTGCATTAAAAAAAAAAAAAAAATCAGACAAAATAGCTCATTACCAGTTTCCCCTTTCCAACCTCATAATTGTTAATTTAGTTTGGTCAATTTTACTGCCAGCTACTGATTTTAAACACAATTCATTTAGACACCCAGGTAAACTGTGAAGATCTTTAGAAGTAAAAGAAATCTTCCATGATTATCCTCCTTTTCCCTGCAAAATCAATTTCATGATAGCAAAGCGAGGATTTGTTGACAGAAACACTTCCATGGTGATGAACTGCAACACCAATGCTGTGGGCTTGCATCATCATTAAATAAATTTGGATGAAATCTGAGGCTGGTGATGAATGAGAAAGCTTCTGTTTCAACACATTTATCTTGGGAATCGGCAGTGACCCAACTGTATTACAAAATATATGATGGTCTAAATGTTTTTCAAAACTATTTTTATTTATTTATTTTTAAAGATTTTATTTATTTGAGAAAGAGAGAGAGAGAGAACGAGGAGCGGGGGCTGGAGGGAGGCAGAGGCAGAGGGAGAAACAGGCTCCCTGCTTAGCAGGGAGTCTGATGCAGGGCTCTATCCTAGGACCCTGAGATTAGGACCTGGGCTGAAGGCAGATGCTTAACCGACTGAGCCACCCAGCACCCCAAAACTATTTTTATTTTTAAGTCACCTTAGGCTAGAACTTTAGAAGAAACTACATACTTAATTTTACATTTTTCAAAGTAGACATTGATAATGCTACTGCCTAAGATGCTTTTTTAGATATAATCAAGAGAGGGTACACATAACATTTTGGAGCATGACAGAAAGTAGAAAGAACGAAAGAACAAAGTCTTTGCAGTGCTTCCCAACCTTTGTAACATAATGGCCCAGAGAGAAAATATTTTGCCCCATCTGCTGAGGGGACATCCATTCCTGGAGCACATGTAACTAACAGAGTTTGAAAAGCTCTGGGCTCTTGAATAGTTCATCCGTTTTGTAAGGGTTCAATTTCTCATGTGAGCCAGAACAATTCTCTACAATAAAGTTAACACCACAGGATCTGTGCTCCGTGATTATAATGCACAAATTCTCATTTCATCATCTGCTCTAGATATTTACTACAAATAGGCATCCCAAGTGATTAATGTTACTAAAAGTCTACTGGACTTTCAAGGAACTGAACCTCTTTTAGAGGTTCTTCTCCTGGGAGGATTACTTCAGTATAATAATTCACATCACCATCAGAATTTAGGAACACTGTCATATTAATAACATATATAATTAAAAGTGTTACTAATTAAAATTTATGGTAAAGACAGCATCATTTCTGAAAAAAAAAAAGCATCTGCCCCTTTCCATAAAATCACACATTAAAAAAGAGCATCTTCCCATTCACACATTCTAGACTTTTAGTCCTCAATTTCAAAGTTAAATTTTTATTTATTTTTCTAAGTATTTTATTTGACAGAAAGAGAGAGAGCGTGCACAAGCAGGGGGAGAGGGAGGGCACCTGGGTGGCTCCGTTGTTAAGCGTCTGCCTTTGGCTCAGGTTATGATCCCAGGGTCCTAGGATCGAGCCCTGCATCGGGCTCCCTGCTCAGTGGGAGGCCTGCTTCTCCCTCTCCCTCTCCCCCTGCTTGTGTTCCCTCTCTCGCTGTCTCCCTCTCTGTCAAATAAATAAATAAAATCTTTAAAAAAAAAAAAAAAAGCAGGGGGAGAGGGAAAGGGAGAAGCAAGCTCCCTGCTAAGCAGGACCCTGGGATTGTGACCTGAGCCGAAGGCAGATGCTTAACTGACTGAGCCACCCAGGTGCCCCTCAAAATTAAATTTTTATAACCGTGTGTATGTTTGAAAGGTTATAGAACTTTCTTTTTCATTTGTATATAATCACAGAAGAACCTTGAAAGCCAGGAAGGAGGAAGGAAGTGACACTGGAAAATCTTCATATGAGATATGTAAGGGTGGAAGTTTGTTTTCTTAGAAGAAGGAGGCCCATGAGAGACTCACAGAAGACAGTTTTTATATACATCTGATAAAATATCTTCCTTTCATTTCATTTCATCTGAAGTCCCAGCTTCAGAACCAATTTTCATTTTACTCAGTTCTCCTATCTCTTTAATTTTTTAAGCTGCAGTATCCTACCACAGATTTAAACGATTTTCCATATTCTTCTGTCCTTTTAAGAACAGTGGCAAAACTCCAAGGTTGCCTCTGTTCCCTGGGGGCAATGGCAAAAATAAAATCATCACCCTTACTAGGACAATGTGCATTACTATAGTTGGATCTTTACATATAAAGGAAGGTCTCTATTTGTTCAAGATGATGACAGAATTACATAAATCTACTCAGAAGGTCCCCACAACTATACTTCACAACACCAAGACATTAGGACATAGGTCTTCATGTCACCCAAAGGATAAAAAGTAGGTTATACTATAAGATGGTCATAAAAAGGATATTTCATTAAAAAATTCTTAGAATTGAAGCCTAAGGATTTGATGATCTTTACTGACTGACATAGAACTCCAGACAAAAACATGTTTTTGGTAGCTTCTTTGATTCTGAATCTTTACAGTGAGTCTCCTCTGAAACTTGTAAGACAATGGCAAGGAAAGATCTTTAAATTAACAACATTCTAATTTCCCTATACCTTGGTTTCTGTTATTGTTTTTCCCTCCAAAAATCATTTTGCTTTGCAATCCTAAAAGAAAACATAATCAGGCAAAAATGCATGCCCGAAACATTAAGATCTGTGTTTCTCAAAGTAAAATCCAACATACATGTATGAGAATCTCCGAGGGTAGGACCCAGGAAGCTGCACTTTTAACAAATTACTCTGCTGATTAGTATGCACTCTAAAGTAGGAATTTCACTGTTTTAGAAATTCCTACATTGATAAACATTAGCAAATGTGTTCTGACGGTAGTCCCGCTCTATCAGAATGAATTACACCTGTCCAAGGAAGTGTGACTATTCTGCCCTCTAGTGGCTGGCATGACAAATAGAACGCTCATTCCCCAGGTTTTCTTTTTATTCAGAAGAAAAGCTTAATAAAAACTATCGTTTTATAAGGTGGGAAGGTTCCTAGTTTTACAACTGTAGCAAAGCATAGATGCCTGAATTTTTAGCTGAGCAGTAGCAGGCTGTCTGACACCTACAAGCTGTTTCTCCCTCGGATCCCAGGCCCTCAATAACCCTACAGCATTTCTTGGGAATGGTCCAGAACACACATTAAAGAGAGCAGTTTGGATGAACCAAAACAAAGGACTCCATTCACCTTAGGCCACAGTGGAGCAAATGCCAAGAAAAGAGCAAGGAAGATAAGTGGTTCAATAAAGTCCCCAATCTTAAAACCCCTTAAATTCATTTTCACTTAAACTCCAAATACTTTCCTTTCCAACTGATGGACCCTTCCACTGTGCAGTGAAATGTATCAGAGCAGGCATCCCCCAAAGGCAACAATGTAGGGTAAGGAATCCTTAGGGAGTCCAGCCAGTTAATTGGCCTACACTTCTAAGTACTTTATCATTTGATAATGAACTTTAACACTGTTCATATGGTAGCACATATAAATCTCAACATTCCATCAGGACACTAGTTTTTACACTTAAAATGGTGCCATAAAAATGTACTCTGGGCTACAGTCAGCTATCCTAGGAATAATCTTCTTTACTTGTAGCTTCATTTTAAAATTTCACTTGTTTTTTTTAATAAAATTATTGATCAAGAGAAATAAAATTTGTCTGATTAAGGCAGTTTCTGAAAGCTTTTTAAATGTTCCTATTTTAGTAATTTCCTTTTTCCCCCATAGCCCAATGGTCCTGTATGATATTTTTGTAACGTTATCTAGGATTTTTTTTGCCTCTGAGTTTTATTTTGCTTTTGAAAGCCTAGTCATCTTCGCATAACTAACAATGTATACAGGCCCTACAGATCTACAAAGCCTGTTTCACTTTGCATTCCTTAGGCCTCTGGAAAGGTGGAATGGGTTCACTGACATGCCACTCATATGTCTCAGTGACATGCACGATGTCTTCTCTTCAAAGC